CTGATTTGCATATTACAAAGAAAGATATTATTAATAACAGCATAACCATTATAGATAATTACAATCAACATTAATGTATGTTGTGTGTATTATAATATTTTCATCCAGATCTCATTTATTTTTACACTTAAATTTTTATTGATACAATTTTTGGCTGTTAAAATTGAAACGCTTTCTTTAAATTTTCTATTATACATATTTTTCTCTTTGTGTAGGATTTTAACATTATTTTTATCTATATTACAGTTATTTATTAAACAATGGTCATGAAAAACAGAGTTTAGTCGATTATATTTGAGATCTGCAATATGTTCTTTTAGGCCAGGAACACACATGCGTAAAATTCGGCGTAAAATCTAGCATAAAACAGAAAGCGTAAAAATTTTGCTGAAATTTTGGCTGAAACATAACTGAAAAAAGAGTAGAGCATGTCTCTACTTTTTACGCGCGTAAAATTTTTACGCCAAAATTCCTCCAATGAAGAGAAGTCTTTTTGTGACGTCAAAGTAGACACGTGGTTTTTTTCTAACAATGGCGGCAACGAGGGTTAAGAACCATTGATATAGGAGAAACTAAACGTAAACTGAGTATACGAGTAACAACCAGAAAAGAAAAATGGAACAACTCTGAATAAGTCGGCTAGCATATATGTACGATTTTTATTTGTAATCTTGGCGGGATGACTTCTTTTGTGTTTTTGCGTTCGTTTGATGCTCAGTAGGCTATTCAATAATTGATTTGATCTCATGCAATTATCCCGTTTGTTGATTCCATGTTTATTGTTAAGGATTTTACTTAATGATACGCATCTTATTAAGACAAGAATTTTATTTCTAGAGAGGAAACTGATTCGGTAGCGATATCAGCCAATTAATTCTCTTCTTTTAGTGCCAAAACAATTACTGATAAAGTTTTATCACATTTCACATTTCCAAATTTTATGTTAAAAATTTTTTGAAGTCTTACAAGGACAGATGGCAAAGAGAATTTGTTGAGACCAGTTTTTAAAAAGTACTTAAGAATCGGAGTGTCTTAAGCCTGGACTCCACATTACCTGAAAACAGAAACTCAGAAACAGAACTGAAACATATAGAGTTTTCGTTTCAGTTATGTTTTCGTTTTAACTCGACACCACTAGAAATGCGCCATCTATTGATCAGTTCTGTAATTGTCGTAGAGTCACGGACGACGCTACGGATTTTGCCATGATTTCTCTGCATTTATTAACAATTTCATTGTTAATGATCTTTGAATTATTTACATTTTCTGTCGTACAGACATGTGTGTTTTCTAACTTCTTCGATGAAGAATTCCAAATCTATTTGATTCCTCACCGTTTTCGCTACACTTTTCGCCATTACGACAATCAAACTACGCGTGACTAATGCACGTGACTACGCGTCACAAATCCTTGCGTTTTTATTGGTTTCAGTACGACAGAAGCGCGGAACAAAAACGGAAAAGTTAAATTATTTTTAACTCTGCTTTCAGTCTTGTTTCTGTCCAACTGAACGTTACAAAACTGAAAGTTTCGTCAGTTTGGCTTTCAGTTTTACGATTACATCGCGGATTCCGGTAATGTGGAGTCCAGGCTTTACAACAGAGGGAAAGTATGGCAATAATGGGAATCGGGTGTATCTCCATTAGGGTCGGACTTTACTCGTTAGTAACATTTAATAATGAGTAATGTCCGACCCGAATGGAAAATGAGTTAAAAAAAAAATGTAAATGTTACAATTTTTTTTATAAAACTCATTTTTACCATCAAAATTAAGCTTTCTGCCATTTTATAATAGTTATGATAAAAATATAAAAAGCTTTTTTAAATAAAATAACAGATGCCGGGAAAGTTAAGTAACTCGTTGCTGGAATTATTACTTATTAAACAAAGAGAATCAATCGATATGTATCTGTTGTAAATGTGTTTTTGACACATATCTTGTTCTTATACTTTGCCTTCTAATATAACAATGCCAAAAAATTATTTATACATTAACAGATAACGAGGTTTTAGTCTATAAGTCGTAGTTCAAGAAGTAAAAACTCCCGGTTGGCGTTCACAAGTTTAATATCTGATTTTGTGAAATTTTTCCGTGCCCGTAAATTTTCCCTTATAAAGCCGTTTCTCAACAGTTTGTTCATAGAATAATTACAAAATTTTATACACTTCATGACGCTTTTGCGTAATCAATTTCCAATTAGAATGCCGATATAAGAGAAAATGATGATCGCGGACCTATCAAAGACCGTAGGGCACACGAAAAGAGAGGTTCGAGTTAAAAGTGTAGATAAATTCGAATAAATGAGACGGTATTGTAATAAAAGATTACGGTAAAACCTTATATAATGCGCCCGGAACGTGTAGACAGCTTCAAGTTAACGCAGTTCTATATAGAGAAGTTTTACTCTACGTAAAAATGATATTAAAAAATAGCAGGCAATCTCTTAAACTTATAAACGTAACTAACCTATTTATAAGACATTTAAGCGAATATATGACTATAAACAAATTTGGTTGGCTACGATCTGATAATTTAAAATTTAATTTGAAAAAATCTCACATAATAGTGAGGAAAGTAAAAGAATATAAATTGTGAGCTTTTTCGTAGATGATGTTTAAACAACGAAGATAATAGTTTAAAACTACTAATTATTTGCCTGTTAACTTTCTCCGTAGTATTTTATAGTAGTACTAGCTTACCTGTCGCGCATTGCTGCGATCTCAGAAGAAACGAAATTCAAGCAAACTCGTTATGATAAAATTCAATTTACATTTTATCATTTTTATTGAAACTTATTATTATTATTCATTTTCATCGGGAAAACATTTCAAAGCGTCGTTTCAATTTTCTTTATTTATTGGAGTGCTTTGTGGATACACGATATTTTTTGTTTTTCCGTCCGGTGCGTACACGAATAAATCAAAAGGTTTTCCGACGCGTGAGTTGGCCACATACAGTTGTTCAAGCGAGAAGCACGGATTCTTTAAATTTAGCCCACATACTCGCAGAGATTGTTAGAAGTCCGATATTCCCCATTTATATATATAATTTTTAATCCTTCATAATTTTGATTATTTTATTTGCTCCTTCCTCTCTTCCTTGGCGTGTTGTGAAATTTCTCATAGTTGGATAATAAACCGTTTTATTGTAATTTGTCTTTTTAAATTATTTTGAGTCGATATTAAAATTTGGAAAAGGACGGATCCCTAGATCGGTAAAATAGGCGAATTTCTTCCTACAACTTCGGTTGTTGTTCGGGGTACAGTTAAGGTTTTAACGAAGTTCGAGCGATTACGTAATTAGCAAAAAAAGTTGAAATAAAGTGATTAAACAAAAATTATAACAAATATCGTAAATAATAAATGCATATATAAAGATATTATTTGGAGGGGGGAAATGGTCTTCACAATTTGAAATCGATCGAACACACTGTGCTCGAATGCTCGTGTAAACGCGCGCCATCTATCGTAGAGTAAATGCCAGAAACCTTCGCGGGAGTGTATTAAAAAAAAACTTCCATAAGCTTCATGGCAATCGTACTACGCCACAAACCTTCGCTGGAGTATATTAAACAACTTCCCAAAGTTTCACGTCAATCGGATAAACGGTGTGGTAATGCATGAAGGACACACATACATTCATTTTTATATATATAGATGATGTTCTGACTTGACACAAAAAGTTTTCAATGTCTTAGCACAGTTCTACAAAATACAAGTGAAATGTGTTTCATTTTACAATTTTCGACTGTAAATGGGAATTCACTGTAAAAGTTTAATGTAGTGGAAAACATCCTAACATATCCCCCTGTCGTTCTTTATTTATGTTAAGAGAAAGAGATATACATATGCTTCATTGAACAAGAATATATCATTTATTTTTCGTGGTTAGTGCGGTAAAATTTAGAAAATTCTAAATAAATTCTAATCACATACTTTTATAACGTTGAGATATAGATATATTAAAGTTATTTACATACAAATGAGTATGAGTATCTTCAGATATTCATTTCATTTAAGTGTCTCGCAGTCAGTCCCGAAAATCACTTCTAAACTTTTTCTGGAAAAGAAATATCGTG